TCAGTGAGTGTCTTCCAAATAACAGTGAAACAAAAACCATGAGTAGTTGGACTGAAACATAAGATTGTGGATAAGGCTCTCTACCCTGTCCCAAATGGAAGGGAGAAGACAGCAGAATACCTTCAAAACCTGTAAATGAATGTGGGAGAAATCAACTTATCACCCACACCATCAGTAGGATGAACCTGGCAGGATCCTCATGAGGAAGAACAGAATGAGACGTACAACTTTATTGTTGATATCTAGAGGGAATAGGATAGGTTTAAATGTGTCTCTATGGGCATTCCAGAGCATTAAAACCCAAATATTCTCTGACCAACAAATCTTGGCATAGAATATGTTCAGCATTTTGAAAAGACATTTAGGAGACCTTGCCCTTGACTGATTCTTCCCACACACATAGAATGAAATAAAGGGTAAATCACATGAAATTAAATTAACCTTAAAGACTTACAGTGCAAAAATATGCAGGAAAACTGTCAGAACTATCAACATGACTTAGAAACCTACACTTCTTTTGAAAATTAAATTTAAATAACCTGAATGAGAGGTTTATTGAAACCTCTGGAATTCCAGTAAAATGAAACTCAGTTAGAGAGCATTTTGGTTTAAATGGGTTTTTACCTTCAACTCAGAAGATTTTTCTAGGTTAAAAAATACCACATTCGAAGGGCCAATAGAAAAAAAAGTTAACTGAATAAGTCTAGGTGGATAATTCTCAGAAATATGCGATGAGATATGCCGAGACAGATCCAAAAAGACTTTCACACCAAAATCTAACCTTCTTATGTAATAGATAGACTTCTGCAACAAACTCATACATCACACATCTTAATTTGTTATTTTTTGTGTGCTCTCACAAGACACTGTCAGATCAGAAAAGATAGACAGGAACATCTATAAGAAGATAAAGAGACCAAGGAATATAAAAGCAATAGAAAGTAAGGAACATGCAAACATAAATTAAACTCTGTGTAAAGAACTGTTACTATCTATACAATCTGCCTCTCTTAAACCTTGCAGGAAAGATACTACTGAAGTAGTACCTGCCAGCAGTAGCAACAGCTGCTGTCATTTACAGAAACTACATTCTGTCTACCCACAAAAATGACCTGTTGAGAAGCTTTGCTGAAAGCTAGTGTCCATATGCTCCTTCCTGCCCATATATGTGCTGTTTCCTGCCCCCGCCCCAGATTCCTAAAACAACTAAACTAGACTGTGAGGAGAAACACCACCAATAGAATCTAGGTTTGGAATTTTTGTATAATGCAAGAGACAGTCAAGTTCTATTTGGTAACGTGTTCCTAGAGTTATTAAAAAAGAGCCTTTGTAAATATTCTACTGTCCTTCTCCCCAGAAGGTATCATCTTGATTTTAGAAGTCTAGGTCTTGATCAGTTGTTGATAATAACTTTAAAACTATAGCAATTTGCTCCTACTTGTAAAATATTTCCATATTTTTTGGGTTATGAAGATAAGCTTTCTACCAGAAAAAGTTTTTTTTTTCCTGTTATTAAAGGACTTTGCCTAGTTTTAAAAGTCCTGTGAGATGGACTTTTATCATCCTTCAAGTAAGAGTGTTCCACAGACAGATCTATCAGGAAGCTTTTGTTGCTATTACGTTCAACTTTTTCCCCCTTTCTTAAATGTATTGTATTTCTTTATTACATAACACTCAAATATAACACTACCCTATTTTTTGACATTTATCATTCTATTTCTGTTGCTAGATTATTTTCAGCCCAAATACAGACCCATTGTTTGGCTATTTAGTTGTTCTGTTTGTTATGCAAAGCCACACCTAGTGTAAGTAAAAGTAAAGCAATGTTAAAAATGACGAAACCAATATTGAAAAGACTAAGTTTTTTTTACAAAAGCTTTTACAAGTTATGCAAACTCCAGTTTTGAAGTAAGATTGTAATGTGATTAATTTACCTTTCTATTTCCACTTGCTGGTTGTTTGAAAGCACTGCAGCATTATGACTTTGAGGAATGCTTGCTTGCTTTTCTTCATATTCTCTCAGTTTCTCTTTCAACATTAGGATCTAAAAAAACCACGATACTTTTTAGTTGGAATATAGTTTTTCAGGTTTTTTTAAACCTATTGTTCTGTGCTTATGTCTTGAAAAGCTTTACAAATGGCATTAGGTGATATTCCTCTTAGACACAACATCTTTCTTACTTCAAAAGACTATATGGAAGAATTAGGACAATATTATTTTATCAGTTCAGTCCCATAAACATTTTTGTACTCAAAGTTATAACAGTTAATCTTTCAAACTTTTGACAACAGGTTTTTTACATACCTCTTTCTTTTGTTCATTGCAAATTTTAACATATTGGCTTATGTGACTGTCCAAACTAACAACATTGCTCTTCAACTGTTAAAGAAAAGAAACAAGTTAGAATTTAAGAAGGCTCCTTTGTGTTTTTCTGCATAATAAATACACTCTGCATATGCACTACGTAATTACAATTGCACTATATTATGAAGAAAGGGATGAATAAAATCCTGGCTTGCACAACAAAAATATGACTCTCTGCTTTTGCGGTTGTCTGTTGCATACCCACGGCCATGTCATTTCCCTCAACAGAAAAATAAAAAAATAATTATCTTTACATGTGCAAGCATGTAAATTTTGCACTTATTCATACTAGTTTTACTATTTAATGTGTATCGTGCATTTTATTATACAAACCACCTTCAAGTACACAACAAATGGAAACTACAGTCAACCCCATATTACATAAAAGAAATTAAGAGCTGCAATACAAAGGGTTATGAAAAGAAATCAGAGTAAGAGAGCAGAAGACAGGACACCCCAGTAGCTTTTCATTTATCAATAAAGTCTCATTGAGTTTCTTGGCTGCAGTTGAATTCTATCTGTAACAAACCTGGACTGGCTCTTGTACAACTTTACAGTTCTCTGATGAAGTAATAGTAAGATAGTGAAACTGGCTGTGAAATCTACCAGTTGAGGATTATTTCTAAATTTCATGCTCACTAAACAAACTCTTTCAAACTGGCAGCATAATCCTGTTAATGAAGCTTTGTTGCTTTTATGCCAGAACTAGTATCTACTACATCCTATCACTCAGATGATGAGGAGTCAACTGTATAAAAGAAGAGGTAACTGAACAAAATTTAGATACAAAAGTGAAGGAAATTATAAATCTTCTAAAAGAAATAACTCTCCTCTTAATACTACATTATTATACTTTGACAAAAGATCAATAAATGCCAATATACTCACAGAAGACTTAATATCCTTTGCTCGGTTTGCATACTTAAGAGTATTATATGTATCATCATAGAACATAGAAGATGGACTAACGGCAGCTATCATTATTGTTCGGCAATTTCCTCCAAGAGAATCTTTCAATAAACGAGTAAGCTTGCTGTTTCGATAAGGAATGTGCTGTTTCTTGCTCTAGAAAGAGAGTTATATGCATTTTTATGGATTAGTCAACTGTACTTTAAATATTTACCTGCCTAAAAGTCTGCTTCGAATTTCAACAATGCCACAAAACATGACAAACATCCTTGGAACTTTTCTTTGACATAAGTAATTTTTCTCAAAAGTACATATACATCTCAAACAGTTTTAAATCTCTTGGAATCATTTAATACCTTTATAACATGTGTATTAGCCAGGTTAATTTCTAATGTCTAGATACATAACAACTATTTTTGTGATGTGGGCAACTAACAGAAAAGGTAGACTTCATTAAACTACTTTTAGTTCACAGAATAATTGACATTGGGAAGGACCTCAAGATCCATCTAATCCAGTCCTTCTGCTCAAAGCAGGGTCAGCTAGAGTAAACTGCCAAGGACTATAGCCAGTTGGGTTTTGAATATCTCCAAGGATGAAGATTCCACAACCTTTCCAGGCAAACCAAAGTCTGCTTTGTGAAGCTTTTTTAAATCACATGTACAGAAGCTTTATCTCACAGTACAAAGTGAGGTCCCTAGGATCCCAAATCCCCATAAAATAAGTCAACATGAAGAATCTTACTTATGTCCATGGTACACATTTTTAATTCTGCCTCCCACTCCAACAAGATGGTGATGAGAATGTGTGGCACCAGGAAGGGAAATAAAAGCTCTGATCATTTTCCCCCGGCATATTTGAAAGGGGAAACTGCTACCTGACCAGGACAAACAGAGCGTAGCTGTAGGCAATAGATTTGATTTTGACAAAAGTTCAGGAGATTTTGTCATTGTCCCACACAACTGTCCCCACTCT